ACTTGAAATCATTTATGAATCAAAATCTCTTATTATGTATTCTCATATCATTCCTTCTTATTGAGATTTATCCAAATGAATCATGATTTCTCTTTTGATTTCTCGGAATCATAACTTGAATTTTTTTTATGAATCAATATTTTTTATGATTCCTTCTTTTACTAGAGAGGAGAATTATGCAAATAAACTATGATCTTGATAACTATAGCTTGAGATTTTTATATAAATCAATATTGTTCACTATGATTCCTTCATTTTACTAAAGAGAATTTTTTTTCAAATTTTTCTCTTGATTTCTCGAAATTTATAACAAAAGATTACCTTTAAAGATCATTGACTATTTAATCTCCTAAGATTTCTTTTTGTTATTTACTAAAAAGGAGATTTATCAAAAATGACTCATGGTCTTTTAGTATTTATGACTTTATCTTTCATTTTTTTTGATTGAAAACTTATCATTGTTATTAATATTTATTATGAGTTGAAAATTAATGTAAAAAAGAAAAATTATGTACCATTGTATTCCTCTTTTTGACAATAACAAAGGGGGAGAAATAATTATTAGCTCAAGATGCAAAACTTACATACTTACATATTACAAAAGGAAAAAAAATTACTAGCTTGCAATCTCAAGTAAAAGTGTTACCTTGCTCATCTCGAGAAGCAAAACTTATAAACTTGCACGTTGCAAAAGGAAGCAAGAATTGCTAGCTTGCATACTTCAAGAAGAGGCAAAAATTGCTATCTTGCAAAGAAAAGCAAAGCTAGCATATCTTTAAAACTTGCTAAGCTTGCATGTTCTATAATAAAGTATAACTTGCATGTTTCAAAAATTGCTAGTTCTCGTTTTTGTTGATGATAAAAGGGAAGAAGATATGATGGTGATTATATATGGTAGGATGTAATGTACTTTGATATTTTGATACCATAATGATTTTGAATCATGTATGTAATAATGATTTTATATTTTAAAAATATAATGATAATTTGATATTATGCATGCAATACTTCAACTTATGATAATGATGTATGTAATGTATTTTGATATTTTGATACCATGATGATTTGAAACAATGTATATAATGATGATTTTATATTTTAAAAATATACATGATGATTTGATATTATGCATGCAATACTTCGACTTATAATAATGATGCAAGTAATGATAAAATATTCATAATTTAAATTGCTTTTACTTGAATTCAAGGTTCATCTCATTATGACATGTTGATGGGGGGAGTTTAGTTAAACTCTATCATCAATTGGTTGTTATCATCAAAAAGGGAGATTTTTGAATTTTGGATTTTGATAATGAAATTAATTAATAATTTTATGATATAATATACATTTTCAGTGACGTAGGATTAGCTTCAATCATGGAGAGACAATTTGATTAAAGTAGGAAGAATCAATGTTGGGCCAAAGTAGAATATATCAGAAGATTGGACGTCGAGCCAAAGGCTCAATCGATATGTCGGTAGAAGGCTTCGTGTCATGAGTTCGGGCATCAAGCCAAGAAGATCAGACATTGCACTAAAGAGATCGGATGTTGCGGGAAGACAACATGCCTATTAGACAATATACCGAAGGAGAGGATGATACGCTAAAAGGTCGGACGAAACGCTAAATGAACCAATGACATGTTAGATAATATGTGATTAATGCTTTGTAATAATTGTCTAGATTGAAATAATTTAAGTTCTAATTAGGTTGGTTTAAAATATAATTAGGCCAACCCAATTAAGGGCCAATTGGGTCTGAATTGGGATTGTTTCGGGCCAAGTGGAAGACGCATTCAGTGACCTAAAAGTTGGGTCAGGCGATGACACCGCCGGTCCAGGCGATGGATCCGCCAACAGCTCAGTCTCCAAGATATAGTCTCCGAGATAATGTCAGACAGTGGTACCACTCAATATCAGTGTGTCAAGTAGTAGTATCACTAGATTGGGTGGTAGTACCACCCAGTATCAAAGAGTACTAATGGTACCCTAAATATTCAAATTTTTAGCTCCAAATTTGAATCCATTTGGGACCTATAAAAACCCCACTCATCCTTTACACAATAACTAAGAGCAAAAAAAGAAAGAAAACTCTATTGTAATATTGTGACAACTCCTCTCAAGCTCTAAGTGTTGGGTGAAGTTTAAGAGAGGGGTGAGTGGTTATAAAGATTATCTCTTAAACCTATGAAAAGGAAAAAAAGGGGATGTAAAAGGGTAGTTGATATTCGCCCTTTAGAAAGAAGATCGGTAGTGGAAGCTAGTGACCTCGAGTTAAGAGGAATTGGAAGTGGATGTAGGTCACGACGACCGAACCATTATAAAATTGGCGTGCTTCCCTTTCTCTACTTGTTTACTTATTTTGCAACTGCTTTACCTACTCATTACTACTTTTACAAATGTTTTAAGTTTAAACGTCTTTCTAATACAATTTCATGGAATGAAGTTTTTAAACTGATGTGATTTTACGAAAGCACTAATTCACATCCCCCCCCTCTCCTTAGTGTCATTCACGATCCTAACATGAGTATGTTGGGTAGATAGCACATTATTTAGCCCTTGGTGGGCTTTAATAACCCATAGCCCACAACACTTTTCACTCTAACTCTTTTAATTGAGACTTTTGGTGGCTAGGGTTAAAAAGTGAAAAGAGGGCAGCGATGGTAGTGAACATGGCTGAGAAAAAGGGAGAAGTAGAAGTGATAGTTAAGGGTAGAAGAACAAGAGAAGAAGAAAAGGGAAAAAGATGAGCACAACACAAAGGATGTTCTCAATCATCCAAGTAGTGATCTCACCTCAGGTTAGATCAGATTTGTAACGGATTATTGCTATGATCACTTTGGGAGATTTTGGATATTATGCACAGTAACATAATCCTTATATCCCTATTATTCTCTTATGATTGTTGCTTGAGTTTTGGGCAAGAGACTTCGAAATTTATATATTCATTATTTTTATAGTGGATTTTCTCTAACTTACCCCGTGATTTTTACCCTTCGCGTTGGAGGGGTCTTCCATATAAATCTTAGTGTCCTATTTGATTATGATTTTTATTTAATTCAATTATGTGTTACGGTCATATACAAAGTCTTTTTTATCCTATTAACTAGTATCATAACAAGGTTTTGGTGGTATTTAATTTTTTATGTTTGAACACGGAGGTTAGTAGTGTTTCTCACATGATTAGCTTGAACAAAAATAATTGGATGATATGGAAACTAAGAATAGAAGATCTTTTATATTATAAAGATTTATATAGACCTTTATAAGGGAATAGTACAAAGCACGCAATAATTACAGATGATAAGTAGAAGAGATTAGACTGAAAAATGATCGGGTTTATTCGATAGTGGCTCGATAACAATATCTTTCACCATATGTCTACTGAAAATTCTTTTGGGAAATCTAGGGCAACATCACATGCACAATGGAAGAATAGAAAACAAAATCGTTGATTTTTCACAGAAAATATTTTATCATCGTGGGTGCACAAAATCGTAAAATAAAAAAACTACGTGTATATGAAATATACGTTACCTAAGGAGATTGTATATCCCTGAAACTCTATAGATCTGTGGGATAGGATGAAGGAGGTCAATTATCCTCCTTTCTAGTAGTAATCCATATGACAGAATCTACGAAGATACTCTTTAAATCGCTGCACAATCATCCTTTATACGCGCACCAAGCGATCAAGAAGGGGATGACTCTTCTTGCTGTCCACACATTCCAAACATGGGCTATCGATTGAGTAGGAGAGGGAGAGAGGAATATAGGAGGTGACAACTAAAAGGGTGGAAGTTAAAGTTGACTACAAATAATAAAGTGCAAAACAACCATAAAAGTTTCACGTGATTGCAAAACACTATCAATTTCTTAATTTTCTCTACTATGTCACCTAAATTCATCAAATGAGACAGAGAAAAATACAAAATCATCACTAATATTATTCTTCCAAGTCTATATCAAAATCTAAGGAATAATCGAAAGTTTAGCATACATACAACTAAAGGAAATATGAGTGAAAAAAGAGAATTAAAGAAATAAAATAAAATAAAAATTAGAGCAAAAATGAAATGGGGAGAGAAGCATTACATGTATTAGGTGAGCCTTCGTTAATATGGATGAGAAGAGGAAAGGTGATGATAGAGACGATAGGTGGTAGCACATTAGTGTGACTACTTCCTTACCGGAAGCACACTCGACCAATGCTAACGATCGATCGATGAGAGTAAATGGAAAAGGAGAAGAGAGAAAGGAGAAGACATTAGTGGTTTATTTAATTTTTTTTACAAATAAGCGGTGAATATATCATTTCATCCTAACACATTATTATCAATCCTCAAATCTTTATCGGCCATGGTAAATGACATCTTTAAAACTTATTAGATAAAATTTTAAATTAAGTGAGTGTGGTATATTATCGTCAAACTAATATTTTAGATATAAAATTCATCGAATTATATTTTAATATTTTATTAATGAGCATAGTATAAAAATTTATAAAATAATATTTTAGATCTTTAATGTTTGACAAATGAATTTGGTCAATATTTTTTTATATAAAATTTTATTTCATCGAATCTTTCATCACCGAACATTTTGGCCATAAGAAGAAATTCCTCTCTCACATGTAAAAGAGAGAGAGTTGATTTAATTATATTCAGAACGTAATTAATCATCTATTCATGTAAACTACAAATCATCAGTCCAAATTTATCTCCAGTTTAATCAAATAAATATTGAATCTCACATACCGTTCTTCTCTACGCCTCCGGTGATACGCGAAGCGACAAGCGAATCAGGTCAAAGACTGCATCATGTGGGTCCCCATCTAAAACGGTCCTTCGAGGTAAAAGTTACGGGTCCGTCGGCGGGTAATTGTTACCTTTCTTTATAAATACGATTTAAACTTTCCGAACGCCTTCCGCCCACAGAATCATCCGTAAACCGACACTCGACGACCATCGGACGGACTAAACTCCATCAATCACTGGAGTTCGCTGATCCAATGGTCAGGATCTGCGTTTCCAAATCGATCGCCGAGCAAAGCAATAGGACGGGAGATGAATGGGAGTCGTAGCTACTACCCGAGTTTACCCTTTCTTCCGCGCCGATCCGTTCGCCTGCCCGGCCGAGACGAAGAGATCTCGGATTCACCGGAAACCGGGGTCGCCATTGCCAATCTCCGCTTGTGCTCTTATCGCCTTCTGTCGCCGAGACCCCATTCGAGGTTCCATGTCCTTTTTCTTCCCTCGAAAATGAGTTCATTTGAGGTGATTTCGTCGCGCTTTTTAGATGCGAAATCGGAAACTGGAACCCTAGATTCGTGGGTACAGCTAGATATGAGTTTAGATAAAAGAAAGTGGATTAGGGTTTCGGATCCAGCATTCTTGTGGTCTACCATTCCCTCCCAAGTCCTCTTCTTTTACCAAATCATTTGTTAGATCTGTCGGTGGCGGAGTTCCTGCTTGAATCTCTGTTGAATTCTGGTGGTCTTGTTGTATGGAAAACGAGAGTTAGAAAAATGTGGTCAAGATTTGGACTTTCTTGATAATGGACTTATGGATGCTCAACTTGTAGTTAACGATAAAATCATAGTGATAGAGCAGATTGGTCTCTGAAAAAAGGAAGGTTTTTAATGCACTTGATTGGATCTTTTTAGATTCCTCCAGAAGAAGGGCCTCTAATCACTGGCTTTGACATGGTTTTCACTGGATAATTAGTACATGGATATTAGTCAAAGTGAGTGACAACTCTTTGCCGTGTATGGGCAAAAACCAGTCTCTCAGCATGATAAGATATGCCTAATTAATAGATTTACAAATTCCATCTCAGGAGCCTCTAATGAAATTTAACATCTATCTGAGCGATATAGGGAACTCATTAAAGCTTGAATCAGTTCTTTCACATGAAACTTAGATCGGATCTTTTCTTCTGAGTAGATTGAACTTTTGGTAGCTTGACTTACTATTTACCATGGCATAGAAGAACTTGCTGCCCTTGTATATAACTTTTTATGTTCATGGTATTTTACATACTCTTAGCTTTTCTCTTCTGACATATACATTCTCAGATATTCTTCAATTCTTTGCTTCACCTAAAGCTATGCATGAACCACCGAGAAGTCTATATCAATTACCTTAGATTTTTACATCAAAACTTTACAAGCATCTATATATTTTACAAAGTATCTTGTCAAATAATTGTTAGGTGGCAGTGATTGCAATGAGATGGTCATATTTATTCCACTTGATTTTAATCCAATGCCTCAAAACCATTTTGTTTTAATTTCAACCCACCCTACTACATGTTTGTTCTTTGTTGATCATTACATAATGATTAATAAATTCCATTATTGCTGAAACTATATTTCTGCATCAGATGGATGGAAAATAAGTACCTATCTCGTCTGAGATTAAGCAGTGTCTTGTTGTGCTTTTTCTGAATTCTTTTATTTTTGCTGCAGTTAGTTATATCTATGATAGAGGGAAGGATAAGGCCAACTTCAAAGACAGAAGCACATCCCTACATCAGTAAACTCGATGAAGCTTCTGCTTATTTGGCTTGGGTGAGCTGTTGAAATGCTTTTGGCTGTGGAAGGAGGAGGGTTCTTTTCTTCTTCTGCATCAGGGTATAGCAGTGGTCTTGCCCTTCTGATTTTTGGCCGGAGAAATGATGAACAGCCCATAAAAGTTTCACCATGGAGTCACTACCAGTTGGTGGAGCAAGAATTTGAGCCAGAATCTCAGCTGGCTTCTAGGAAAAAGCAAAATTCTCAGGGATGCACTTCCTTCATATGTTTCAAGTGTGCTTGCGCACAACTCGATGGAGAATCTCCTAGTAAAGTTGGTCTGGTTAACCATTCTGAAACTTTATCGGATTCATCATGTTCTGACAGGAGCAAGGTACTAATCAATGATGCTGCCACTGTGAGCGAGAGGAAGCCATGCCTCAAGAGTAATCTAAAGAAGCTTTCTAGAGATTGTTCAACAGCGTATGAAGGTGATGATCCCCATGAATTTTTGGAAGGAGTGGAAAATGAAACATCTTGTTGCACCGTAGGTAGGAAAGTTCAGTGGACAGATAAATGTGGCAAAGAGCTGGTAGAGATAAGAGAATTTGAGCTCAGGTATGTTTGCTTGCAAATATTAGTGAATAATATAAAGAATTTTGTCGACATCATGCTACTTACTAGTGCATCCCTGCTGCACAAACACGGAGACAAGATCAGGGGTAATTGTGTTAGCCTCTCATTTAGATCATTTAATCTTTGACTCTAGCTTGTCATCATTGAGTCTAGTCATGAGTAACAAAAGAATTTGTTTGTGAAATGGCTTAAAATTAATTAAAGATGGTTTTAGTCTCTAGAATGATCATGTATATCTGAACTAGTTTCATGCCACGTCCCAGAGTAAAACTTTGAATACTTTTCCCAGTTTCTATGCTGGTTAATTAGACCTAATACTCAATAATGCCATTCATAAAGGTTTCCCTCTGTAATTTCCTAAAATGCCCATTTTCTGCTGTTGGATTTTAAAATATGCCCTTTTTGAGGCACTTGAGTTTACTTCTATTGTATAATTTTGGAAGTCCCCAAAGTAGTCAAAACATTGGTTTACTTCTATTATCTAATATTGGAAATCCTGAAAATAATACACATGTAAAGGTAGCTGCATCCTGTTTGTCTTTCTCCACTCCGTTGTAATTGATGACTCCAAGAGTATTTCTCGTATTAGGCAGAGGGATAAGCAAGCATGACAAACGGTTCAGATCCAATGGGCAAGAACTGATGCATTCTGGATCTTATGTTCTTAAGAGAATAGCTTTGAACTGGCTGCATGATCATGAAAATTATGAATGATACTAACTGATAGTAAGTGATTTTAATCTATCCACAATGTGTTGGTTTAACAGGATCAACCTTACATCCCTTGACCCCTTTGAAGTTGGTATAGTTTTCAAGAAGTATAGCGGTTAGTTTGTCGAGCTAGTGTAAGTTCTTATTGACTGGTTAGATTGTCTAATGTTGTAATTTCATGTTCTGGACTCTGAAGTAGGGTTGTCCATTATGGTCTGCACTCTGAGATTTCCTTTTCTTTCTTTTGTTTTTAATAATAAGGACATTATGACTGGAAATTAACAGGGGATAGTCTGATATGGGAGGCAAAGGTCCAGTATTAGTAGGATTCTGGTTGACATGTCTTTAGGTTTGAGAAAATTGAGACTATAAATTCCAAAATTTTATGAGGGTTAATGTCAAATCTTGGGGAGGATAAAATGAGACAGATTAGAGTCATAAATGGATTTTGTAAGAAGCTGATGAGTGGGCTTTCTAACTTGCTTCTGAATATGGACTTTGCTTCCTAGACTAATGGAGTAATTGTTCATCTTCTGGGTGGTCTTACCATCGATTGCCATTTAGCTAGTATCAGTGTTTTTTTTTTTCATATCATAAAATCTTTGGCTTAAATATAACTAATTTGTGAAGAAGCCAAAGGTCACCGACGTTCAAACTCTCACATTTAGCTTAAAAATATGCTTACCCTTGTTGTGCTTACTGTACATTTGCTAATATGGAATCTTAAAAAATTTGCAGCGATGATGGTCTATCAGATGAGGAATTCAAGCATGAAAAAGTCAGAAGATGTGAATGTGTAATCCAGTAGAATTTATAAATGCACAGATAGATGCAAAGACCCAAGCAGATCAGATCGGAGAAGCACGGTAATATTTTGGTGACCTCCGGAAGCTCTGATTTAATGGGCTGGTATCAACCGGTCAACAACTCCATTACAACCGAAAAAAAGCTTCTTTGGAGGACTTCCTTGGGACATTTTTGTGTATCATTTTATTTGTTTCGGCCGCCATGTCTGCTTGTCCTGATTCCTTCCAGGATATTTTTGGCTTTGGCAATCTGGGCTCATCCTGTTTGCCTTGTCCGTACCGTAATCTTCGTATAGTGCTTCTGTGTTTAAACATTATGTTGTTTATTGCTGTATCAAACAAAGTGAACATTTGTGTCTAAATAGATTCTGCCCCCCTGCATCTATCTTTGTATTCGTGATGCCTGCGAGGTAATCAACAAAAGGTTACTTTCATAGCTCAGCAACTAATTGTTGCTAATTTCAGAGCAAATCTTTCGGTTGTTAAAAAGCTTGAGAACTGCGCCAGAACAATTTGTTGGCTATGTATAGATAGATATGGTGGTGGGTTAGTCACTTGTCATTCATTTCTTGCTGTCCTTTTAGTTTGTTTCAGTCACAAAATATTTTTATCAATGGATAATTTTCTTAGAAATGGATGTTTTTATCACTAATTAGCTTTTATCCTCTTTTGAGAAATTATCGAAAGATATCTTTTTGGCATTGCAAGTATCCATTTTTTACATGGCTTAGTGGGAATAAATCAGATCGATTGCTTCTGTTCTTCTCTCTCTCTCTCTTTTTTATCTTTCTTCTCTCTTTTCTGTCATCAACAGGAAATAGAGGAAGAGGTCGATTAAACAAATCACTAGAGAATTTGAAACAAGAAATTGATTAGAATATAATGGGGAAAACTGAGATTCACAGAAAAAGGGATAATTTTGAATATAAGGTAATTTTAAATAAATTAACTTTTTGAATTTTGAAATTTTTTTTTAATTTTAAGTCAGTGACATGATTCTTTTGTACGAGAAAATCTCGTTGTTTTATTGAGAAAATTTTTTTCTCGTAACTTGTATAAATAGAAACGAGGAAATCTCATTGTTTTACTAAGAAAAATTTTTTCTTCTAAAATATATAAATAAGAAGAACATATCAATAAACTTTAATGAAAAAAATATTTTTTTTATCATTCTTCATATTGATAAATAATCAATCAATTTTAGTGGAATTTTTATCATGTACTATAAGACTACTCCTGTCAAACCTAAAGGAGGTCTTGTCTTCTAAATATGGAGGGAATAAGGGAGGTGTGCTTGATGGAGGACTTATAAATGCATTTAAGGGCACAATTTAGGACCCTAAGGTAATACATTCATTCCTTTCCTTTCTATAGTGACCAGTGTTGATGGAAGCTCCATCCTATATCATTGGAACATTGAGTTGTAGTTGGAATGAGGAGAGTGGTTTTGCTAGTAAGCTGTGCTTAGGCTTAAGCAAGCATCAAATTATGCTTTTCATGCTCATGCAAGAATAGAGCCTTCAATAACACATAAGGTGATTGCCTATACCTCTAATTAGACCTGACAACACATCGGTATCGTTATCGGAATCATCGATTTCGATTCGACAATAATTGATATCGAAACTCGATCGATAAGGGCCTATTTTGAAATCGAAATCGGAACTAAACCGACGATTTCAAGTTTTAGTTTGATCGATTTTGATTCCAATTTTAACCTAAGACCTTTTAATATTAAAATTTATAATATCAAACTTTTATAATTTTATTTTTAAATTTAAAATAATTGATCTACATCCATAATAACTCGAGTGTAGATGTGTAATGACATAACCAAAAAAACTTGATATAAAACTAAGTAAGATTATAAATATTTAATCACGATTGTTGTCATTACAAAATATTTCAATTCAAATAATCTCTTCTATTGATATGTCCAATATGATATTATTTTCTTTATAGACGATCTCTTGTTTTTGTTTCGCTACCTTTGTCTAATTCAAGGGTTATGTTCTATCTGATTTGATCTAAGATCTATTCTTAGCTAAAGGCTTACTCCATAACCACCTTTGCCATTGGAGTATTTAGTATTTGTCTTGTAATTTTCATGAAAATTAGAAATATTATTGTGTATCACACTCACCATTCCCCAACTATCGCCAAACTCAATAAATATTGTTAGATACATTGTTCAAGCTTATAATTCCCTTTTTTTTTTTCTTTCTTTTCTTTGTACCAATATTTTTTCTCCCATAAAGATTTGACTATCCCACCAACACTTAATAAGTAGATTCAGAGGTATCATATCATATTCTCTACTATAGTTAACACTATAATGGTCATATTAGTTAATATCTATCTTTAATTTTATCACAAATATCAATATTTATTCCTAAACTTTCAAAATAAATGGATAAATGATTACTTAAGCCATTTAATTTAATCTAATAGGAGGATAAAAAACACACGTAACTAAATAAACCGATAGAATTTTAGGAAAATAATTTATTGATTTTAATTTTATAACCATTATTATCATTTTCATATTCTTGTAATGCACCAACAACAATATTAACACAAACAACAAAAAAAAACAAGATGTGCAATAGGATAATAAACACCAAATAAAGTATATGTCGCATTATTAAAAACTTTTGAAATTCTTTCACACACATTCTCAATGCTACTATGGATATCAACAAATTTGTCTAACATTATTTACAATAGAAGTACATGATAATTTTTTATATTTAAAATATTCTTTAAGCAATTTATATATAGAATTCTATCATGTAGGAACATCACTAGCAAATTTTTTGGTCAATTCTTTCATTAATTGTGGTTGATTCTTTTATCAATAGCTTGCTTAATAAGAAAATGTTTCTAAGAGACATAAGTATATCTTGTATACATAAATTCAAAACATGACAAGCACATCTAACATGAAAACAAACTACATGTAATTCCATAATAGAAGTGATATTTGTCGATATATTATCAAAATCATTAAATATTTTAAAAATCAAATAATATTTTTATAAAATTATTTTTATCATTCTATAAATATTATCAACTGCATGGAAAACTCTAAAAGCATCGTTATTTATTCAATGACAAGTGGTTTTCAGAGTGTATGTATTTGCTAGTAATCACTCCAAATATCAGAATAAATGTAAACACAAGCATCGAAAGCTCGAAAAATATTTTGCAAATCTTGTCTATAAATATCATGTAAAGTGCGAATAAGAGCGGTATAAGTTATGTGACAATAATTAACAAATCTGACATTTTCATCGAAACTAAAGAACAAATGTTCAATGATGATTAATCTAGCTAATACTTCATGATTTTTTTAACCAAAAAAAAATAAAAAGTGAGAGAAGTAAGGTCCTCAAAAATTTGCATTTAACCCCCCGACTTGCATTGGATGTTTTTCTTTTGGAATATTTTATATCTTCCTTCTTGAACTCGAAAACTTAGATGTAGTAATTACATGTGACATGAATATTTTATGTCGCTGATGTCCGACTTGACATCAATGTTGATGTATTGGCTTTCTTGAGTTGTCACGATTAAATTTTTTAAAGGATTTCACTTGCCATCAGATCAAGAAAAGAGGAAAAAAAAAAGGTTTAAGAGATTGTTGTTTAAAATTCAATGAGTGCTTAATTAAAGGTGTGAAGAAGAATGAGAGATTTGAGGGGTATTTCTTTGTTAAATACCCCTAAAATTATATATTATGTAGTTGTTAGAAGGGGCAAATATATATATATATATATATATATATATATATATATATATATATATGTATATATATATATGTATATATATATATATATATATATATATATATATATATATATATATATATATATATATATA